GAGTGGGGTCGCCTATCCCTTTAAGAGAGAGAGGGAGGTGTGGCGCGTGCATGTGGCGCGTGCATGTGTAGAGCGAGAGTGAGCGAGCGTAGTGTGTGTCCGGAAGAGAGCGGGAGTAGCAGCAGTGATCAGTCTGTCTCCAGTTAGCTGTGTAACAAAGTCCTGAGGAAACACAGCGGCCTCCCAAGGAACAGCCTGCCTGTCTGCCTCATTTCAGAGTCGGTTATTGAAGCCGAAGCCTGGTGCTTCAGTCCGGGAAGACTGCAGAGAGTCCTCCCCTGTATTCCTCCACTACGGTCTGGGAGCAGCATCTATCTCCACTGTTGCTGTAACCATGTTAATGTCCCTCTGTGGGACCAATAAAGGACTTCTGATTCTGCGGACAGACAGAAGAGAGGGGGGAGGGGCGGGTTGGAGAGCGGCCTTCTTTTCCCGGATTTGAAGAGTCCTTTTCCTCGCAGCCCACCGTATCCCAGGATGCAATGCGCGCCGGTGACAAGGAAACAAACAAAATGTCGGTCCGGTCTCAGAGAGAAAGCAGCACGTGAGGAGTAACTGATAAATGTGAGTGTCGGGTTTAACTTACTTTAATAACGGATGAATGTGAGTATCGGGTTTAACTTTCAATCAGGAGAGACAGTTTTTGATGTCTATTGCCGGGAACACACGAATGAATGTAATGGTGTTTGGCTATTAGAGCCCGTTGTTTGTTCGGCCCGACGCGAAGGTTAGTAAAATCCCGTTTGAATTGTGTCACGAATTACACATATGATGTTTGTCAATTTAAAAGATAATTTTGCAAGTCAACATTTTTTAAATGTGTCGTAAAACTGTGAAGTAACACTTTTTTTTGTGTGAAACGGCTCGATGAACTACATCACCCGTCTCGCCGTCACGTTGGCACATTTCACTTCTTTCTTTCAGAATGAGGCGAAAAGTATTAAAAGAGGTGAAAATCACTACAAGTCTGGGCATCTTGAGAGCTGTACATACACAAAAGGGGAGTTAGTCGGTCCGTAAGAGCCAGCATGCAGGACCGGGATTCTGGGATTTGTAGTCTTTCTAGTTGTGTATTTTTCATAGTCTTATATTTCAACAGTTTTACGACAAACTGTGACTTTTTTTACATGAAAATAGTTTTTTAAGATTGACAAACATCATATGTGTAATTCGTGGCACAATTCAAACGGGATCGAAAGATAATCTTTCTCTCCCCATTGACTTCAATACATAATTTTTCCGAAATAAGGTCCCATGGGTCGGAAGTAGATGGGCGGGACTTCGCCTCTCACTATTGCGGCTTTCGCACCGGCGCTTTTCCCTTTCTAGCTCAGAGCTAGAGCTTTTCTGGTTCAGCTCCGGTTACCCTTTTCTGCTCCCGCTCTGTTCACACCACTCGGAGCCGGGATGGTGCTGCCGCTGCTGCGTCATGACGTCACCGTTTACATCGCTGATTTGCTCCCCAACGGAGCTCACAACAACAACAACAACAACAACGGGGGACTGCGTCGGGTCGATGATCGTGTTGCTTTTAATCATACGAAGCCAGATTAAATTAAATAACGACTTCTCCAACCTTATACTTTTCTCCAGAGTGCCGTGGTTCATTGTTTATTAATGTGTTTCAGCGGCATTTACCGACCGCTGCGGTGCTGGCTGCTCTTCCACGGGAGTTTATTCTCCCGTTAGCTCCGGGTTAGCTCACACGGCTCTAAAGTATTCACTGTCTGACTGTCACACAAGCAGCTGATACATATCCCCAGTTCCCCTTAAGTGAATGTGTGTCAGTCTGAATTGACGCTGTTTGGCATCACAACGCTGTTATGAAAGTTTCTCTGGTATAACATGGGTGATGTTAGCATAGCAACCAAAGCTAAACTGACTACTTGCTAAGCCGTTTTCTACAGGCACATTTTACCGGTGTATTTTTCATTATGATTCTACTTGTGATAGTCGGACATAAACAGAATCACACGAAGCCTGGTTAGTGTTGCCTGACTTTATAAAGTGTGTTTTTTTATATAAGTGTGTGGTTGCCTTCTAGTCACTTTGCTCAGCGCTACTGCTGACAGAGAACTGTCAATGCAAAGCTGCACTGTCCATGGTCCTGAACTACAAATTATAAATGTAACATTTCAGCAATCAGCATTGAAACATGTGCTATTGTAAATATTTTGCCGACTTACAAATTAGTGAGATACATGTGCCTGTCGGGGCGCGCAGATTTTTAAAATCCTTGGTGGCACTGAGGAGAGGGCCACTCGCAAGTCCTGTTCAACAGAGAGCCGTGACCTCCTGTTGTTCTTCATGTAAACCAGAGTAGAGAACGCCAACTCACACAGGTAGGTAGTGGGAAAAAGAAGAAGTTGCTCAATCGCGTGGTGGGAGATGCTTGGGTACTCCGATGCAGAAGCCAACCAAAACTGTTCCAGTGGGAGCTCACTAAATTTGAGTTTCAGTGTGCGGTCCACATGGAGCTCTGCGCACTCCTCTCTCTCTTTCATAGTGAGCTTTTCTGTTGAGAATTCCTGGTGGAATGGGTCTCGGATCCAGTCATAGTCCTCGATGTCAGCCACACGTGGAAGATAGCGGTCAAACCTCTCTTTTAAGGTCTGAAGGTGTTTGGCATATACAGCGCGCTCCCTAGCTGCCTGCGGCGCAGCTGATGCCAGCGGGAACATGTCCATGGAGCCCTGTTCCAAAGCCTCGCGCCACAGGATAAGTTTGCCCATAAACCCCCGAATCTTGTCTGTGGATGATAAAAAAAATTCATTCCTGCCCTGAAGCTTGGCGTTTAACTCGTTGAGATGCCCAAATATGTCTGCGAGGTAAGCCAGCCTGGCGCACCACCTCTCATCCGCGAGCTTGTCTTTATGTGGGACAGCGTGTTCACGTGAAAACTCCAAAAGCTCTTCCCGAAGCTCATGAAGACGGGATAGGACTTTCCCCCGTGACAGCCAACGTACCTCTGTGTGGAGGATCAGGCTTGGTGGTCGGCTCCCATCTCGGCGCACAGCTGGGAGAAGAGGCGAGATTTCAGGGGCCTTGATTTGATGTAATTCACCATCTGCACAGCCTGATTCAGCACCTCAGTCAACTCCGGGGGCATGGTTTTGGCAACTAATGCCTCTCTATGCAAAATGCAGTGTTTTTGTGCTCTCACCTTAGCAATTAATCCTTTCACTCTCCCCGTCATGCTTGCCGCACCATCTATGCAAAGACTGACGCACATATTCCAGGTCAGACTGTTCTCTTTTAAATAGTTATTAGTTACCCTGAATATTTCTTCTCCCGTAGTATGGCTTTCCATTTCTTTGCAGAAGAAAAACGTCTCTTTGATAGAGTCAGCATCAACATATCTGATGTTTGCCAGAAGTTGGGCAGCCCCACTTATGTCAGTAGATTCGTCTATTTGTAGGGAAAATCTGCCGCTCGCCTGCAGTTTCTCTGTCAAATGTTGCTCAATGTCTTCTGACATGTCGTTGATTCTTCTTTTGATGGTATTATCAGACGACGGCATCTGGACCCAGCATGACACCTATAATCTTTTTGCAAGCGGGGAGGATGAGTGTCTCCGCTATTGTGTGAGGTTTCTTCTGCTTTGCAATGAGCTCCGCTAGCATGTAACTAGCCTCCATTGCCTTTTCAGACACTTTCACACAATCCAACAAACGGTCTTGCTGCCTCTGGTTCAGATCCCGCGCTCTTTTGAAGTAGGCCAAGTTTCTCTGAACATGGAAGGGATGTTTGGTTTCCAAGTGCCTCTTCAGCTTGCTTGGAACCATGTTCGCATTATCTAACTTCTCCCGACAGACGACGCACTCGGGCTGAGGATTGTTGACATCCCCGGTCCAACTGAAACCATAAGACAGGTAACTTTCATGATACTGTCTGCTGACAGTTTTGTTCCTCTTTTCTTTCGGTGGTGGGTTGTCGGCAGTCTCTGCTCTGGTGGTTGGTGGTTTGCTCCTCACAAGAAAGCGCTCCATGTTCCCTCTTGCGTGTTTCTTTGTTTTAATGTTGTCCTTCAGCCTTCGATGTGTCACGGTCTTATAATTCCCACCTGCAACTGCGTTAACAGCGAAATATGGGGTTCTGTGAGGATTTTTTTTTTAAAGAATTGTTTTTAGGTATAGAGTTTGCCTCTGTATTATGAAATGAGTGCATACAAAGTACTGATATAGTAAATTAAAAAATAATTATTTTTGTGTAGTTGTATATTGCAATAATAACGTATGGTTGTCACAAAATCCCACGGCACACCCGGACTTGCCTCGCGGCACACCGTTTGGGAACCACTGGTTTAGATAACAAAAATATCTTTATTCTTTTAAGCTTTAACCTGTTACGACCTGAGCCTGTTTTTCAGGTCTCAGGCTCGAAAATGACATTCCCAGAACAAATGACCATATCTTCCCTTCTAAAAGGGTTAAATTAATAATCTTTGTTCTCAAAGTAATGATAAACCTGTGACTTGGATGTAGAAAAGTCAGAATCAATATAGATGTTTTTTATTTTAAAGAAAATTCAGATTGAACATAGTAAAAAACTGTAAATTAGTGTCCGTCCAAAAATTCTTTTTTACTTATAGTGAAAACTACCCTTGGATGATGGGTTAGTAGACTAAAAGCTTTAGGAATCCAAAGTACAACATATAAGTACCCAGGGCTCTCGACTAACTTTTTTCACCATCCTCCCGGAACCGTCCCGAAATACAATCTAAGCCGTCCCGAAATTAATGTGGACCGTCCCGAATTTAAAATATTAGTTTTTCTACATTATCATTAGTTAAAATCATTCAAAGTTATCTTTAACATAAATACAACATACAAATCATTAGATGATAATTCATCAAACTTTTTATTTGAGTAAAAAAAAACACATCAACAAATAATATATTTTAAAAACACACAAACAAGAAAGTTACTCCAAATGTAATCCAATGAAGTCCCATCCAATTAACAAAAATCCAACACTCTGTCCTGAAGACAGAACCCAGAGTAACCAGGATGACTGTAACACAGTCAGGAGACCTTGACATATTAATTAGTCTTGGAACTGGGGCCTTCTGGTCCTGCAGCCACTACTCCACCACTTGGTGACCGCTTTCTCTGCATTGAATTGCTGTGCAGGAGGGCCATGAACTGAGATGTGCAGGAGGAAGCTAAGCATCTCGTTAGACAAGCAAGACCTCCAGTCTGACTTAATTCTCTTCATGCTGGAGAATCCACGCTCGCAGCAAGATGAACTCATGGGGAGCACTTGTGTGATCTCCACTATGACCTTCATTTGCTTAAACTGGTCTTCCCTTCCAATAGCACCTGTAAGTAGCCTCTGCCACAGCACCTGGGGTTCAATGTGCCTGTAGTGACGCTGTACGAGGACTTTCAGGTCAAGCCACTCTCTCTTAGCTGCCTCTCCAGAAGTAAAGTCCCCGCATTCTGCAAGGATGGATTGGAAATGCTCCATTAATTCAATGAGCTCAGCATTGCCAAATGTCGCCAGTTCAGCTGCGTCTTCTGGCCAGTTAGACAGATCAAAGAGGGTGGAGGTTGCCTTCAGAATCCCTGTCTCCAGATTCCCAAAGCGTGCTGACAGAAACCTACACAGGTCGTTAATGAGGCTGAGCTTTAGTGAGTTGAAGGTGGAATTGTCTGTTTCCCTCCTGTTGAGCTGGACATTCTGCCAGGTCTTTCCAGGTCCAACCTCATCCAGTACCTTCTGGAGCCTTGGGCCTGGGTCTGTCTAGGTTTGTAATAAAAGGAAAGAAAAAACATTTTACTCATTGTAATCCATAAAATGAAAACGTTTTAAAGTATGTTATATTGTGATTATAATAATAAATATTTGAAATGTGTATAATATATGGAATATTTACTCTGATGATGTTGATAATGTCTAGACTTCCAGGCGTACATTATTGACATTTAAAATATTTCTTATTATATAATAACAGCACAAAATACTTCCAGTTTTTCAATAATATAATCACAAATGACAAAATATCTTTACAGTTTTTCATATTTAGGGATTATATAAATACCAGTTTTACCAATTCCTATATATTCAATTGTTAATGTTCAACAATTAATCCAAAAAAATGTTACTGACCTGCATGGCTACAAGTGACAATGTTGTCGTTTGTAGTCCATCAGAGACCATCTGCAAGGTCAGTCCATCTCTCTGAAACAGCAGGCTGAGCTGCTTCAGCTCCTGAAGAATGTCCAACACCAAGTGAATGAACATCACCATCTTGTACTGTGTCAGGGACCGATGAATGGCACGTGCTCTCCCTTTCATTAAGGCACTAGCCTCCCTGTCATTCGGATCACTAGCATGGTTCTCAAAGTGAACCAGGGTAACTTTGAAGTTTTTCACCAAACCTTCAAGGGCCCTGGACATATGTGGAAGCCATCTTGTCCCATCAATGTTACCTGGTTTGACCACATTTATGCCCATAACTTTCCCAAGTGCATGGAGCTCACGGGAAGCTTTTGCAGAGTGGGAGTAGTGCTTGTAAACACCATTCAGTGTTTCCTTCAATTCAGCCAGCAGAGGCACTGATTTGATGCTGTCAAGCGCTGACAGCTCCAGTCTGTGAGCCACACACCAGATTGGTACAATTGAGGGACACATTTGTTTCAGCTTGGCTGCCACTCCATTGTGAACTCCCATCATCACAGATGCACCATCACAGCCGAAGCCAACCATCCGGGATTTCAAGTCTTGCTCAGTCAGGCCCACATTCCTCAAACCAACAAGTATTGCGTCAAGGATGCCTTGGCTGTGGGCATGCTCCAATGAAACAATGTCCACAAATTGATTGACAGGTTTGCCATCTTCCACATATGTCAAGTAGACCATCTCCTGATCTTTCACGGAGCGGTCAACACTGGAATCGGACATGACAGAGAAGAAGTGTGTGTTTTTTAGTTTCTCCACCAGGTCATCCTTCATAGATTGACCTATGGCCTGGACAAAGGTGCGACAGGCATTGTCGTTCTTGTAAGTGTCACCAAGTTCTAAACCATTTTTGTGATGCAAGTCAACTAGGCTTGGAAACATTGTGAAGGGGGCTTCTTCTTTTGCCACAAAGTAAGCTATATTAAATAGCTTTGTCATCCTTTCTCTGACATTCTCTGACATCTTTTGTAGGACACAAGCCATGGGTGTTCCGCTTGGGTTTACTTTCGCAGCCTGAGCGCCTTCGCAGTCAGAATGTGATGTTGTTTTGCTGTGTTCTTGGAGTGTTTTTATCCGGATTTTGCCACCATCCACACCAACAAAAAGGTTGTTCCCTTTCGCAAGACTGGGAAAAGCACGACAGCTTTTGCAGAACATCATGCCTGTCTCTGCATCAAATTCAGCAAATGGGAAGGTTTTCTTCCACTCCGGCAACCATTTGCGTTTTCTTTTTGCCTCATATTTGTTTGAGCTTGAGGCATTTGAGGCAACCTGCAAATAGAAATGTAAAAGTTGAACAATAGAGTGTGCAGCCTACATTATACTCGCATGGATTTACAGAAAATACATGCTGTGTTTTTTTTCTTTTTTTCATAAAAACATTTTTTTTATATATATATATATATATATATATATATGTGTGTGTGTGTGTGTGTGTGTGTGTGTGCGGCCCCGCCCCCTCGCACACTACCCATCCCTAGTACATGGGGAGAGGCGCAGCATATTGCTAAGGACTAAATGCGATGGAGAGTTCTCATCTCAGCCTTATTACCCATAGGGGATGAAGAGGAGTAAATAAATAAGTGGTTCAAGTTAGTAACATGATCTGAGCTGTTGCGGAGTTTTGACTCCTCATAGTTAAGGTAACGTTATCGTCATCTCACTCACTGTAAAACGGCTGCTGACTGGTTAGCTAGCGTTAACAATACATCAGTCTAACGTTAGTTAACTAACTGGTCACGTTAACAAACTGGTCACGTTAACATTAATACGAGCAAGCTTACCTCATTGACAAGGGTTGAATTCCCCGTTACAGCTGTGGCTGTCCTTAGGTCAGAGGCCGGCGCTCCAGGGTCTGGTTCTGCTGTGCGTTTTCTCGATGTAACGGTAAAGAATAGCAAAATTCCTCCACGGGATGCCATTGTCATTGCACATCACTCAACCCGCGAAATACACACACTCAGAACATAGATAGACCCGCGCGGGTCTATCTACGTTCTGAGTGTGTGTATTTCGCGGGGTTCATTTGAGCTTGCGGCATCACAGCCAGCTGTGCGGGTGGCTGACAGCGGCACAGCTGTAGCTACGTACTGTGTGTGTGTGTGTGTGAGTATTTTGCAGGTTGCTAAATGCTTTGTGCGTGTATGTTTATGTTGACAAGGAGGTTTAATAACTGTGCTACACAAAACGTGCAGTCAGTTTAATTTTCATCGCCGTTCGTAGTAGAGTTAGCAGGGTATTTTAATTTTAACTCTCGTCCCAAATCCGTCCCAATTTTTTTCGGCCCCGGGATGACGGGACGTCCTTAAGCTCGAGCCCTGTAAGTACCCTGTATCAAGATTGATGCAAAACAAGTGACATTTGACCTTTTTAGAGAGATTTAGCCAAAAAACCCCACTTCTGGGGTCATTTGGGTGGATTTTCCATATCTCTGGCCCCCCTTGGTCGATTTTGATGAATGAAATCTCTTTATAACCGCTAGAGCCAATGGAATCGAGGGGAAGTTCTACACACATCAACACGTTAACAAATAAGGAGGGAGAGTGACGCGTGGCCAAAACCGGAAGCTGCATACACTCTGGTGGCTACCATTAGCAGCTAATTTATTTGCTCCGAATTTTACATAAAAATGGAAATTATGGATTATAAATAATTTTTTTAGTTTCGGTTCCCAACCCTAGTGGTGAAGGGATTCAGGGTCCGTTTTTGGTGCTGCGCCCCCCCCTCCAGATCTGGGAGGAGGAAAAACATTTTTGACCGTTGGTGCTCATCCTACTTTTCAGCCTTGATGTAACAATATTCATAATTAAGTCAATGTAACACCCTTTTCACCCCGGATACATTTTCCATTTGCCCTGTAAGTGATGAAAGTGGGGGATGTTGGCACTTATAAGTGCGAGTGAGCGTGGGAGCGAGATACCGGCACATGCACATACATTGGATAAATAACATAGGCGTTTAGTTTATTTAATAAAAGAGCACATGTTCAATGTGAAAAGTGACCGTAGATAGATTACTTCAGTTGCAATTTGGTGCTATATATATATATATATATATATTTTATTTTTTTCTTCCGTAGATTGCTTTGCATCTACGGATTGGAGTGTGTTTGAGGATAACAACATCAACACACACACACACTGACACGGTCATCTGCTACATTGGGAAATGCATCGATAACGTGGTACTGAAGGTTACGGTACGAACATTCCCAAATCAAAAGCCCTGGATAAACGGCGAGGTGCGCTGCAAGCTGAAAGCGCGCACAGAGCTGGAGATTTGGAGGAGTACAGGAAATCTAGGTATGATCTCCGGAGAGCAATTAGCAATGCAAAGAGACAGTACAAAGACAAGGTGGAATCTGACTTCAAAGGCTGTAACACCAGGAACATGTGGGCGGGAATAAGAACAATGACAGACTACAAAGGAGCAGCGGGGGGTGCTGCGGGAGTGTCTGCGTGCGCATCTCTCCCAGATGAGCTGAACAGTTTTTTTGCACGCTTTGAGAGCAGCCAGGCTGTGGAGGTACAGAGGGACCAGGAGCTACACTGCACTTTTGTTTTAAACAGGGCAGATGTGTGTAAATCCTTTAAAAGGGTTAACCCACACAAGGCTCCTGGACCTGATGGCATCCCTGGCCGTGTTCTCAGGGTGTGTGCAGTTCAGCTGGCAGAGGTGTTCACAGACATCTTCAACAGGTCCCTGCTGCAGTCTGTAGTCCCCACATGCTTCAAACACTCCACTATCGTTCCTGTCCCCAAAAAGACAATCATCACCTGCCCCAACGACTACCGCCCAGTAGCACTCACCTCCGTCATCATGAAGTGCTTTGAGCGGTTAGTCAAATCATTCATCACCTCCTCCCTCCCTGACTCTCTGGACCCCCTGCAGTTTGCCTACAGAGCAAACAGGTCGACAGACGACGCCATAGCCCTCACCATCCACACTGCCCTCTCACACCTGGACCCGAAGAACAGCAACACATATGTGAGAATGCTGTTCATTGATTACAGTTCAGCATTCAATACCATTGTGCCCTCCAAGCTGGCCATCAAGCTCAGAGACCTCGGGCTCAACAGCGCCCTCTGTGACTGGATCCTGAACTTCCTGACGGGCAGACCCCAGGCAGTGCGGGTGGGAAACATCACATCCTCCACCCTGATTCTCAACACCGGTGCCCCTCAAGGCTGCGTGCTCAGCCCTCTCCTCTACTCCCTGTTCACCCACGACTGCGTGGCCACACACAGCTCCAACACCATCGTGAAGTTTGCTGATGACTCGACCGTCATCGGCCAGATCACAGACGATGACGAGACGGCGTACAGAGAGGAGGTCGAAAACCTGACATCTTGGTGCCAGGATAACAACCTCCATCTCAACGTCAGCAAAACCAAGGAGCTGATTGTGGATTACAGGAAGCAGCAGGGAGAGGGACACGCCCCCATCGCCATCAATGGGACTACGGTGGAGAGAGTCAGCAGCTTCAGTTTCCTTGGGGTCCACATCACTGAGGACCTGACATGGACTCTTCACACCACCACCATCACCAAGAAAGCTCGACAGCGGCTCTTCTTCCTCCGCAGGCTGAGGAGGTTCAAAATGGATTCCAGGATACTCTGCAACTTCTACAGGTGCACCATAGAGAGGATCCTGACCTTCTACAGGTGCATCATAGAGAGCATCCTGACCTTCTACAGGTGCACCATAGAGAGCATCCTGACCTTCTACAGGTGCACCATAGAGAGGATCCTGACCTTCTACAGGTGCACCATAGAGAGTATCCTGACCTTCTACAGGTGCACGATAGAGAGGATCCTGACTGGCAGCATGACGGCCTGGTACGGCAGCTGCACCGACCTCAATCGTAAGGCTTTACAGAGGGTGGTGAAAACTGCACAGCACATCACCAGGACGGTGATAGCTGCCATCCATAGAGGACCTTTACTCCCAGCGGCTCAGGAAGAAATCCCTACGGATTATCAAAGACCCCCATCACCCCAGCCACAAACTGTTCAGTCTACTGCCGTCTGGCAGGCGTTAACGCAGCATTCTGACTAAAACCAACAGATTCAGAGATGGTGCACAGACTGACC